GGTCAAATAAAACCGAGCTTGAGTAGCTCCTGGATCTGAGACTTCAGCTCCTGAAGCTCTTTCGGGGCCATTCGATACGGAGCCTTCGACACTGGTCCTGCCCCTGGCACCAGATCGATCGTGAACTCTACTTGGCGTTTTGGTGGTACTCCTGGCAATTGCTCCGGAAAAACGTCTACGAAATCACGCACAACTGGAATATCCTTGGGTGACTGCTTCTCCGAACTTTCCCCAACTAAGCTTACCAGATAGCCTTGGTAGTCCTCCTTCTGCAGATATTTAACCGCCTTCTCCATGGGGATAACACGTGATAAAGTTCTCGCCTTCGTTCCGAAAAACGTGATATACTCTCCCTTGGCCAACTTAAGAGTCAGTTCTCTGTCGTGACACTTAATGTCCGCCTGATACTTCTCTAGCCAATCCATACCGAGTATGGGATCAAAGTCTCTCATCTCGATCACAAATGCATTGGCCTCTAGAGTTTTGCCACCTATGCCAATACTAAGGTTCTTGGCCAAAGAGTGCGTTACTATCTTTCTCCCTGAGGCTAGACTGATCTCAAGGGGGTCGATCGTACTCACTCTCTGTACCCTCACGACTTCTAGACACTTGGTCGAGATGAATGAATGGGTCGCCTCAGTGTCAAATAAGGCAAAGACTAGTACGTTGAATAATGAAATCATTCCAGACATCGTACCTGGCTGCTCGGCTATCTCCGTCTGGTTAAGGGCAAAGATATACGCAGGTCCTCCTTGTGGTTGGTTTTGGCCCTGCTGACGCTGACCCTGCTGGTTCTGAAGGCGATCTGGGCAATTCATAATTTTGTGGAAAGGTTTACGACAATGATAGCACACATTCTGTCCAGCCAAGCACTCTCCGCGGTGATTCTTGCCGCAGGTGGCACATGGTGGTAAAACCTGACGAATAGGCTGCACAGCCTGAGCTGGGGCTGGTGCTGGTACAGGTGCTGGAACTCTCTGTTTATTATTCCGATCATTACGACCCTTCCACTTTCTCTTGTGGGGTTTCTGTGCCTGCTGAGGTTGCACTGGATGTAGTGGGGCTGGCAGAGTTGGCAATGCCAGTGGTTAGACTGGCTGCTTAACTGGAACACAGACTCTGCTGGCCTCCACCATCATGCTCTCGGCCATCTGCTGGGCTCGAGAGACTGTCTCAGCATATGACATGGCACCCATGGCACTGATGGTATGACGGATCTCTCCACGTAGACCTCCCCGAAAACGCCTCGTCCTCTTTTCCTCCGTGTCAATAAGATTTGGCACAAAGAAGCCGAGGCGAGCGAATTCACGCTCGTACTCGTCAACGGTCTGTCCTCCTTGCTCCAAACTCAGAAACAATCTCTCCATCCGATCCCAATAGTGATCAGGATAATACTTCTCCCGGACTATCTCCTTCATCCGCTCCCATGTGAGATTTATCTTCTCCCCAGGCCTCATAGCCCAGTAAGCGGTCCACCAAAGTCCAGCATCCTCTGTCAACTGGAATTGACCACACATGATCTTAACTGGCTCTGGGCAACCCATGACCTCAAAGATAAGATCAAGGTTGCGTAGCCATTCCTCAACTTGTTTAGGATCTCCTTGTCCATTAAATGTCGCAGGGTGATACCCTCGGAACTGTGCGACTAGCTGACCCTGACTTGGCTCGAAAACTACTACAGGGGCTGCGACTGGCTGAACTGGAGTATTTCTGCGATTAGCCATCTGAATGGCCAGTTGACAGGATTAGCACATGAAGGAATTTGATAGAAAAGACGAAATATTTAACAACTCGATGGTTTACAAAATTATTGACGAGTCGTTGGCATACAACTTAACTTGTCTAGAGTTATCATTCTTTTAGGAGGATAGTTTTCTAAGCCCCCTAATATTCTCATACTAAATAGATAAAATACTTGCAAAAATAAAGATATGGTTAGATGACTTACCTCGGAGTCAGCGCGGGCGTGAGCGTGGTGTGGTTACTTCACTAACTCTTGGTCTACAGAACCTCTAACTAGGCTCTGATACCAAACTGTAACACCCTGCCTTATCTAACTTTTCTGATTAAAATTTTCGCGATTATCTTTGACAGATAGAGATACTGTTTTCGAAAATATTGAAACTTAACTTGCGGGATATTACTTACTTACTAACATGACTTCTTACTTTTTCTTTCTTTTACTCATGAATATATCAACATGTAAAATCTAACTGAAGAATATAGATAAGGAATAATTATACATAACATAATTATACATACATACTTATTGTTCTGGTTTATCAGTACGGAAACATAATAAATTATAGTCATAATATTTCAATACAAATCAACATAACACAAACATAATAATTGTCCAGCTTTATTCTGACATCACCACACCACTTCTCGGCTCACGCTCCATGCTGAACTCCATCACCTGAAAAACATAATTGGGGTGTGAGCAAAACCACTATGCTCCGTAAAAAAACCAACACTGAATAAACAGCACATATAATCCCATATCATGAACTAAGTATATACATAAATAAAATTTTACTTTACTGGGGCAACATCCGTGAACTTTCCGGATTATTATGTGATCACACTCTGGGGGTCGCCTCCCCAGAAACTCAGGATGGGAAAACCTTCCATACAAGACCGGGTGATCATAAACTCATCTTAACTGGACCACGAACGGAAACTTTACCGTTCGGGTAAAATATCTACATACATACCTCATACATGGTACAAGATTATAAGCAATGTAATACCCAGTGTAGGTCCCCCACCTGATATGTTGAAAAGACTTTGCAACTGCTGAACAACTGATGTAGCTGTTGGAGGCTCTACTCTCCACAACTACCACATATACAAACAAATATATCTAAGTATTTTATTTTATTTTTCTCAAAAATCACATATCTCTCTACAAAAATTATTTAACTTGGTAATTAAATAGTAGATATATTTATATACTCTCTTATAAAATTTTTAGATCAAAAGCACTTCAATAACTCAATCCACTCAAGTGTTAAAATTAATATATAATTATGCTAATTTACGCCTAACTTCAAATAATTTTAAAAATTCACCTACTTATCATACCAAGTTTAAACTTGGTCATCTTGACAAATACTCATACAAGAAATATTGATAAAAGTTTCACATTAAAAGCTTGAATATGGAGTGAGTTCTATTGCATGTAAAATCAACCTAACAGGCATGGGTTTTAGCATTTTTTACTCCTTCATTTCTCAACATAAAATTCTGAAATTTAACAGATAAACTCTTAACATATAAGTACACATGTCATTAAAATTTCACATTTTTCTCATGCACATAGGTTGACTTATTCGAGTTTAAAATAAGCAGCTGAAACTTGGCATAAAAATTCAATTTGCATGATAAATTTTAAAAATCTATAATTCGAGATATACTTAACTAAATGACATAATTCTTGTTCCTATGTACTCATAATTTACACAAGAAATAACCATATAAAGTATATTTTCCCAGTATATGTATATCATGCTAAAATTCAAATCAAAATAGGACATATATAACATGTGATTTAGCTGGAAATAACATATCATTTTTCATGCTTAAAATTTCTTTAAAAATTAAATATGTATGACATGTAAAATACATAATTATACACTTAATCTCAACTACAACACATGATAAGAAGTTAGCATCTAACCTCCTTCAAGAAATTTGAAAATGAAACTCCGAAAGTTGATCTCAACCTATCTTCGGCAAGATTTCTCTCGGTTTTTCTTCATCACTCTATAGCTAAAACTTTGCTTATTTTGGTGTGATTTTCAATTCTAAGCTGATGCCCCTTTATATAGAGAATCAAAAGAGACAACATCACCTTCTTCACATCCACACTCCATCATAATAAACTCATTAGGGCCCTTGCCATTAATGTTTTTCTAAAATCATGCACAAAGTTGAGTAAGCTTTGAAAAGTACTTGTAATGCATGATTCATCTTGTATATATCAAGACAAAACTTTTCTCTTTGACTACATCTTGATATGGCTCGAAATTAAGCTAAAATGACTCATTTATTACTTAAGAATACTTAGAAAAGTTTTTATAAAAATAAATAAAGATAATAAATGGAATTCATAACTTGTAAACCTCTCCAATCTATAGTAAATACTTAGAAAAGACCATCATGTGATCCTAATCTGATTTCCATGATAAAATTCGTGACTTAATGAAAAATATAGAATTTACGGAACCGAATTCCGACTTAAAACGAACGATTACCGTAAAATCGAAAATTTTTAATTTCTCGCTTTTACTTTCTGCATTTTTCCTATTTATGCTGATAATTTTTTATTTTTATCATTCCCCAACTTATAATAACATATCACATGATATATATATATCAATATCAAGGTATTTCATGAGAAATAATATGGTTTAAATTTAACACTTTATTTTTATTTTAAAAACACTTACTATTATTATTATTATTATTATTATTATTATTATTATTATTATTATTTTCTAAAATTGTGCTGATTTCCTTTCTGAAAATCTATATTAAATTTCATCTTGATGTTTACTAAATATATAGATAAATATAATTTTATTTTTTTTCGAAATCGAAATCGAAATCGGACTTAAATTCCGACAACCGAAAAAAACTAGAATATTTTCGAATATACTCTTAATAATTTAAATAAACCATCTTGTCTAAATTAATAGAACCTCATAACTTAACAATTTGATCACATACTTAGGAAATTTATATCATGTAGACGACTAACTAAATTTTTATGAAAAATACTTCCGATTTCACTTTAAAGTCGAGCAAAGTGAATCGGTTTTATTTATTAACTGAACGGGGCGTTACAAGAAATATCTTGGGCAAACTCGTGCAACCCGGCGGCATCCAATTCCCTGTGGTCAAAAGTTGAGCTGAGACAATTGGCCATAGATCGAATGTGACAAATCATAGCTTATGGTATCCAAGTAGAAGAGGAAGAAATTAAAACAAAAAAAATGAAAATCCCACGCTTAGGCGGCCAATCTCCGACAGCCATAAAACGCATGAAGCCGGCCTTGGTCAGTATCAAATAAATCAGACACAACAAACACGATATAATTGCTCAAATGACAACTTCTAAAACTCTCATGCAAAAATGTAAATAAAGATAGCCAAGCACGTACCTTAAGTGTTCCCACTACTACCAGTAATATAGCAGTTACAACACAAAATGAAAGTGTCAATGCAATAACAGGGCACGGCTACAGTGCCGTCGTGGAACCGATCCGTTATTTTGTTTTGGTGCTTTGAATGTTGAAAATAAACATGAGCCTTTGGATTATATGACGCCCCACAATATTATGGTGTAGAATAAATCACCTAAACTTTGTCATGTTAGTCCATTATCAATCTACTTTCACATCGGTTTTTTCCTTATTTTTTTCAGTAAAATGTATTAAAAGTTATCGCCAATTAAATGACCTTCTTAGTGGTGGCTAAAGTATAAGCTTATAGTATATATAATTGAGCAAGTTTCAATAAATTTATTCAGCCAACAATTAAAAAAATAAAACTTTATTTAATAAAAATTTTTATGACCATTGACTAACATTTAAATGATAATTACACAAGTATAAGCTTATTATTATTAATTTTTTATTCTGTAATTGTTTTACAAGATTTTAAATTTTATGAATATACAATATTAAATTATTTTACAACTAATATTCCTATTTTGTAATAAAAGAGGAGCAATAAAGCATTAAATTATATTATCATGCATTAAATGTTATTCTTATGCATTAAATTTATTCTCCCTCCAAAATTTTCAGCATTCAATTTAATTTTTAAGTTACAAAATAACTTGTTTGAATGCCATAAATTATGAGTATAAACCAATCAATGGAGTTACAAAATTGTATTCAAATTTTAAATGACACTCACTGATGAAAATGACAGGGTATATTAGCATAAAGAAAATGATTGTAACGGCTCTTCCCACTACAAAAAAATTGTTATATTCCAACGGAAAATTTTACGGTAATATATTCCAATGGAAATTCCAACGGATATTCCAATAGTATAGCTTCCGTTGGAATCATTCCAATGAAAATATTCCATTGTAATGTGTTTTTCATTGGAATTTTAGATGAAATTTGATAATTCCAACGGCTTTTTACCGTAGGAATTTCTGTTGGAATATGCGATTTCCGTTGGAATTTTTATTTCCACCCCCGTTGGAAAATCTACCGTTGGAATCGTCAAAATCCAACGGAAATTCCAATAGAAAACTCATTCCAACGGAATATTTTTGTTGGAATTTCCGTTGGAATAATTCCAACGGGAAATAATAATAGCATTAAAATATCCGTTGAAATTCCCGTTGGAATTTTATTGAATTATATTTCCGTTGGAATTTCACCAATTTCTTGTAGTGTCCATAGCAATTACTTGATCAAAATCAATTTTGAGAATTATTTTCTTAATTCATTTTTTTTTTCATGTATTAAATTTTGATCTTTTTATATTGTTATCTTTTTAAAGTATTCTTTTATGTGCAAATGCACAGGTTGATTACTAGTAGACATCAAAATTCAAAGATATACCCGCATTTGATTGTTTACAAGTTAATTTACTCACATTTATTTCCTACTCAAAATCTAACTAAACTTTAACTGAATTCCACTATCTTTAATAATAATTAAATAATACAAACCAATCATCTATTATAATAAAAAGAGGGAACCTAAATAATACATAAATAGTAACTAAAAAATAATTCGTATTCCCACTAAAAAATATACTAGATATAGTACCTTTCTTTTTGAAATTTTTCATTTGCCGGTTTAAGTGGATCCTTTGATTTATTAAAAAATTTTCATTTCATGTGCCGGTTTAATTTTCCTATTTAAGTTGATGTTTTGATTTGAAAATTTTTTAGCTAATTTGATTGCTAAACTTGATATTCATCTTTCCGATTTTCATGAGGCCGATTTTGTGGACACTCCACATGATAGACATTAAGATTTTTTTAAATTTCTTTTGAAATTTTTCATTTGCCAGTTTAAGTGGTTTCTTTGATTTTTTTAAAAATTTTCATTTCATGTGGCATGTTAAAATACATAAAATAATGATTGAGTGTACCTAAAATTCTCATGAAAGTGGATGCTTTGATTTGCCGGTTCAAATTTTCCTATTTAAGTGGATGCTTTGATTTGAATTTTTTTCCTAAAATGAAAAATCTCTTTTTGTTTTGGTTGTTAATGAGATAGATATATACTCCTTGTCTAATGGAATGTGAAAATATGGATTTTTACTCCTTATCAAAATGTATGAATCATCCATTATTTAATATGATATTTATTAAATAACATACCCTTTTAAGTTTTATTGAATTTTATTCAAATTCATATATTTATTAAAACAATACTCTTTTAAGTAAAAAAAATTACGTGCATAATTTTTTTTTAATTCAAATTAAATTTGACATCACGATTTCATTTTTATTATTCATAAATAACGATGTAGTCGGGCGACTAAATCATATATATTTATTTCATCACATTTGTATAAAAATCTAATTTCATTGTGTTATATAATAAAATATTGTGATATATGAAATGAGTGTGCTATTTATTTTATTTTATGTAGGTAACGTGACTCAAGAATAACATTGAACAATTGAGTTGCTTTTTGACATGTTTTTCAAGAATAATTTAGGAAAATTTTGGTGAATCTTCACACATAATATAGAACATTTTAGGTACTTTTAGACATGATATATAACATTTTAGGTACTTTTAGTGTTTTAGATAGGCATGTTTGATGTTTTATATGTTTTTAGTCAAAATAATTTCAATTAGCTTCAATTAATTAATAATGGTTAGCATTTGTTAATTTCCAATAAATTCATAATCTATATATATTGAAAAAGAGAGGTCAATAAATCAAATGAGGAAAGTTTAAAAAAAATGTCAGTCAATCAAGTTGACTTACTAAATATGGCAACCATTTTAAAACATCCAAAAATTCTTTAATGGCCGAATATATGAAATCGTTTTTTTATGAAATCAATTGTGAGGATTTTTAGGAAATCTGTTATGCATGTATTCCTTTTTTTTTGGCAGTAAATAACAATTCACACGCTGACATAAGGTTTTATTTTTTACTACAATTCTGTTACAGATTTTGTGGAATCCGTGGATATTTAGGTAACATATCACAAGCCAATTATTTAGGTAACATAACATATCACAAACCATTTTATCGGTACGAGGTGGGAACACGATTCCATAATACGTTGTGGAATTATTATCATTTTTTTGTTCACAAAAAGCAAAACCCAAAAAGAATTTTATCCAAGAAAAGGAAAAGAATAAAGATTTTTTAAGTTTTTCTCATCAGCTTTCAATGTCAATCACCATCTTCACAACCACATTTTTCTCCTTTGATTCCGTACAAAGGCAACTCCATTAGCCCAGAGCTGTTTTTCTATATCTGTTTTCTTTTTTTTTTTCTCTTCCTTTTCCTTGGAAAATCCCGGAGAAAATAGTTGGGGAAATTAGGGAGGTTGAAGAGCAAAATAGAAAAGGGGTTTTGAAATTTTATCTGCAGCAAAAGTGGAGCTTGGCGATTTGTTTGATCCGATATCTATCTGCATCGTGGATATACACAGGTTCTCACATTGATTATGCGGATTTTAGGGTTTTGAATCAGCTAGAAGAAATAAAGATTTTTTTTTTCATTGCGTGTTGTATATTCCCCTTTTGGTATAAACTATTCTGAATCCGCGTTTTTTTTACCAATGTAGGATTTGTGGGGTTTGGAATTGAAATGCGAGGAACAATTTTTTTTCTTGACTTACATTGAAAATCAAATTCGTCTGGTAGTAGCAAAATTTGATATTTTGGATGGATTGCACATTTGTACTTGATTCTCATTTAACTTGCAGCTGAGGGTTTATACTTCTTATTACCTTTCCAATTGCTTTGCAGGTCGTCATCTAATTCTTGAAATGCTGTGCAGTTTTGTATAAAGTTTATTCTAGATCTGCTTACATGTATTACAGATGTTATTACGACATTTAGTGGCTCCTATAGTTGCCTGCCTCTATGGAATGATCCCTCCACAAAGCGCTGAATATGTAACCCATAAAAATAACTGAAAAAAAAACTGGAGAACTGGAAAGCTATGCAGTGTATTTTATTTATCTAAACAAAGTTGGACATTCAAATGATACGAATCTGGCTGGGTTATTTGTAATTTGAAATCATTGTGGTGTGTGGTTGTGTTTGCTAATTATTTTAAACTGTTGACTAAATTATTCGGCTTATCCTTCTTCAGATCTTAGTTTTTTGTGTTCCTCCTAGAGATTATAGGCTGACTTGTGCCTTGCTCCCTGCTTTGTAATTGTGTTTATTACCTTTCAAATTTATTTTCATCTCATATTTTTTTTATAAATGAGCTTTATTTGAATAATGAAATTTTAGTTCTGTATGAATTGTTGAATTTTACAGGCACTTGTCAAATTTGTAATGGATCCACAGTCAGATACTCATTTGAGCGAAAGTGGGGAGTTGGGTGGTTTAAGTGAAGTTTGCAATGGCAGCGTGTCTGGGAGGATAGAAGCTTTTAATTGTCTTGCTGGAGGTAAAACCATCTATTATCTTTCCTTTATATTGAATTTTAAAATTGTTCTTCTCTCTCTCTCTCTCTTGAAAAAATTTGAAAAAATTAGCCAAAATTTTGCATAAAAAATCTGCAAAAAATATTATCCTAATTTATTTTTAGGAAACATGCACGTATAAAATAGAATATATCACGTTTAAAAAACTCATCATTATCACAACTTAATACATTCAGGTATTATAGATTCAACACAAACTTGCACAATTTTTGCACAATTTTTAAACTATTAATTAGTAAATATACATAAGTATTTTTCAAAAAAAAAAAAAAAAAAAGAAAAGACATGTAAAATGAAGTAAAAATATCACAATGTGTTTACATATTGGAATGTTTCTTATTCAGATATGGATGAAAACGTGTATGGTATTGGTAAAATATGACATTTAGAAGATTCAATAATATGGTATCCTATATATTCAACTCAAATGTTGCACAATTTTGTTACCTATTATTTAGGAAATATACACGTTAATACTTTTAAACAAATAACATTTAAACGACATTAAATATCACTATTATTAAAATATCTGAATATTCCATATTTTATTTTTTTGTCAAGTTCGTTTATTTCTTAAGAAGTCAATTTTTAGTCATGAACAGTTATACGTTGTTGTCTCCCGTGTCACCAACCGAAGTGGTTTATAAATATTACTCTGCGAAGACGATCATTCACCACCAAATCAAAACAAAAATGTTGTGCACAAGAAAGTCTTCAATAATTTATGATTTTTTAGTTTGTATGTGACACGTTTACTTTTGTTATATATATAACATGCCTATTAAATTTAATATTATTTAAATGATTCCAGTAAAATATATCACCCCGTATGCACTCAAGTTTATGTATTTTTATGGTTGTGTTAATTATTTTTACTACTAATATTAGCTAAACAGAAACTGACATTTTTAAGCTTGCAGAGACTTTTGATTTCCAGCTTCTTATGTGATTCTTATGTGATTCATACATTTGGGCCAATATACAATGTGGAAGAGAACCCTCAAGCCTCTTTGAAAAATGCCTACAGGTACAAGTTGACGAACTTTCTATGGCCCTTTTTGTTTATCCATTAAGTTTAGTTATTGGTCCAAGCTCATCTTGCTTGGTTGGACATGATGCAGAAACGGTTTAAGCGTGGCAAGAGAACACAACATCCAGTACATTGCATTTACTGCTATCTCATGTAGGGGTGCATGGGTATGTTGTTGATTATCATTTACTGAAGTTTATGGTTGTTATTTCTTGCAGTAATTTATATTTATCTGTTAAAATAAATAGTAATCAATAACTATCAACTCAAATGAAGTTTGTGTCTAATGCACAATATCTTTATTTAATGATCAGCTACATCCTTTTGATTGTATTCTTTATACTCGACAGAAGCTTCCTTCTGTAATTAAATTATTGAAATCCTTTACTACGCCTTTTTCTTTAGCATTTTGCTATTGAGAAATTTATATATTTTGTACTATCGTGCAAAGTTTCAATGCTAGCTATTTAACACAACCGACTTCTAATGCATATATGTAACTCCTTGGATGACGTGCTTGGTCATATAAAGAAATATGGTATCTGGAAGTAGGAATACAAATACTACTTTACTTGGTGTTGATGTTTGAATGATGTTCATTTGCTATTTTAAATTAAATTATTATGTTTAGTTCCTGGTCTGTGGTTGCAGGTATCTTTATGATGAAGTTGCAGCTTACGCCTTATCTATAATCAAGGAATTTGCAGGGGGCTTTGAAAAGGTAACTTTTCTTTTAGACCACTTTTATTAGTTATATTTGAATCTAATTTTTTTGGAACATTTGTGTTTCTTTTTTAGAATATTTTATGGAATGTCTTCTGAGTGAAGGAATTTGAGAATGAAAGTAAGATTTGCTCTATCTTTCATGTTGAATACTTTTAACTGAAAATGCCATTCTTGTGAGTATTTTTTTAATGACTGAATTTCCGTTAAAAGCTTAAATTAGAAAAAAAATATAACAATATCGATGTATATTGTGGATTATATTTTTCTGGAGAGAAGGAATGCTATTTTGTGATCTCTTTTTCACAAATTTGCCAGTCAACATTAATAATTACCGTCTAATGACTTGCTTTGTGCACTTCTTATTCCATCTTAATTATGATTCTGTTTCCCTTATATATATAAATTATTGATTCATGTTCTCTATCACAGAAAAGAGATTTAACGTTCATGCCAACATTAATACTTGCATTTTAGAAAGTTTGCCGCATTTCAGTAATGTGGGTATGAATGTTAGTGTTTAGTCGGGCCCTCTTAGAATTTGAGATGTCAGCCTCATAATTGTTTCATTTTGTGAAGGGATGAGAATGATACCAAGAGAGAAGAAAATTTTTTAATCATGGAGAAGAGCAGAACTAAAAAGGAAAATGAGAGGAAGCAACTGGATAGGTAAATTTAGAAGGAAAAGTTAAAAGTGAATGCAACTTTGGAATTTTATTATTATTTCATAACTTATGATATTATTTTTAACATGCTATGTTTACTTACAACATCATTATTATGTGTCCTAACTCATATATCCAAAAATTTTGCAGGAGAAAGAGCTCAGGCGGTTGCATGAAAAGGTAGAAAATGAATAAACACGACGCGTGAAAGAAGAAAATGAAATTCAGAAACAGCTGAAAAGACAACAAAAGGAGATTGAGAGAGACCAAAGAAAGGAAACTAAGTTATGAGTCAAGAAACCGTCTTGCTCTCCAAAAATAATCGCCAATGAAGAAGTCTTTCAGTCATTTGCACAGTTGTACATATATGATATCGAAAACGAAATTTAAAATAGAATGAATGTTGTGATGTTTGTATTTAAAATTAAATATGATGAAAAACACATGTATCCAAATATTATTCATATGCTTATAATAATTTTATTTTTCAGGCAAAGAGATGGTGACAACAACTTGGATTGAAACAAATGTTAGACGAAAACAACGAGCTGGTCAAGTCATTTCGCATGGCTAGCAATAGGATGCAGAACCACGATAAGCCTAATGTCAGTATACGTCTAATAGGAAAAAGATACAATGATGCCAGACGCTATAATCTACCCGCAAGTTTTGAAGTTGCTACCTTGATTGTCGGAGATTTCGACCAATGTTTGAGTGACAAAGATATATTGGTTGACACTAAGAGTGGTCGTCTTCAACGGATAAATGAACTTAATGCTTCATATCTGGCATTACATTATCCATTATTGTTGCCTTATGGAGAAGATGGGTATAGGGAAAACATACCGTTTTCTGATCTAATACTGTGTATACAAGGAAGTTTTTAATAATGTATGACTTAGTACAAATGAAGAATTTATGCTTACTTTATGAATGCCCTACGTATTATAACTTATTGATTAATGACCTTCATTTTTATAAATTTTTCTAAAATATGTACAATCCGTGCATCGCACGGGTTACGTACTAGTTGGATAAAAAGGAAGGGAATGGTTCCCTTAAAATGATGAACGACACCTTAGAAATTTCCTGCAATAACAAACCGACTACAAATAATATTTGAACGAAAAAAGAACCTAGGTGAGTAAATAACTAAAAATTGAAAGTTAGGCCAAAACAATTCAACAGTTCGAAAATAATAACTCGTACAAAAATAATTAAGAGAATTTGGTTGAGGGCATAGACCTGGGTCTCTTTACACCCGTCCATCATCTTCAGACTGCGCACCAAATTGAATACATATTGTTGAATTCTCCTTAAGAAACCTATATGAATAAATCTAACAAAAGTAAAGAAATAGATACAATCAGTACATGAACCTAAGATAGAAGCGGCGGATAACAGAGAAGGCGAGGTTGAAAATTGGGAAATCAATGACGTATTTGTCCCTTCCTATGGAAAGGTCGACCAGAAAAATGATGCCGACTCCCTAAAAATTAACATCCAGATCACAGTTTCGAATTCAAGTGACGTTGGTAGCGGGAAAAGTAAAACCACCTGAATCGGAACCACTGCTGTTTTCCTCTATTGCCATATAATGCCCATTTTTCATTAAGGGGTCGTTTACTTTGAGGGTTAGGATAGGATAAGGAGTCTAGTCCTCCACTATCCTTCATTTACTTCAACAGATTGGGATGGGACAGCAGTGACGTGGCGCCCATGTGTCATGTGATTATCCTCCACTTTCTGATAAATAAAATCCCACCCTCCCCCTAAGATTAAATAATCCCTCATTTTCTATGCCCATCTTGCCCTCAGAAATGCCCTCAAAGTTACGCTAATACCCTTCATTTTGCAAGAATTTACGACCCCTTACCACATAAACTCTGAAACTTCGAGCTTTTGCCCTAGTTTGTTGCAGCGCGGCGTGCATTTGTAGAAGGCCGACTTTCTGAGAATCTCCATCGGGAAGCCAGGTAAAACTAAAAAATCGACATATTTCATGCTTAATTTTCAGATTTACTTGAATGTGATTCGTATTTTTTTTTGTTTTTTTTCGCAATATTTTGGTTATGGAGCAGTCGTTTGTTGCGGAACTGACGGAGGCTTTGTTGGCGTCAGTTTTCAGTCCACGGTGTAGGTAATATATTTTACATTCCCACCGACTTCGGTTGTGTATTTTTCTGGTTTGCCGACTCCGGCATTGTCGAGTTTGCCGACTTGTGTATTTTACAGGACCCATCTATTTTACATTCACCTGTGTATTTTTCGTCTTTGCCGACTTCACTTTCATTGGATTTCTTCTATTTTTCTTTTTTTAAATCAAAGTTCATCTTTTGTTTGTTGTTCTTGGGTGAACTCATTTAAGGTTCATTTAAGGTTGAGCATGATTAAAGAAAACTCGTTTGTGTGTTGGTTGCTTTAGTTTTTTTTGTATTGTTGAGGCTGCTGTTATGTGTTGATAATTAAGCCGTGGCCTTTGTTGAGAGGTGCTGAATTTTTTTTTGGTGGTTATTATGCTGTTAATTGGCTTAGTCCTCCAGAGGTGCTACCCGCAGTTCATAAGGCATAAGGCATTTAAAGTGTGATGTTTAATTTCAAGAAAAGAATAGCTAAATGGGTATTGTTTTATGTGCTTTTGACATAATTGTTATGTGATTGATATACTGAGCATCCTGAGATAATGTTATACTGAGCATCATGTGATTGACTCTACTTTGTTGAACTAAAGTAGAATTGAGATTATTTCAAATTGTGTGACCTTATGAGATGATTTTCTGCAGTATATTATTATGTTGATATAGGTGAGTTTATGCTTGAGTGTCAGAGCTTAAATTTAGAATTTTAGGAACTCCGTAGTCATATGAAATGAATCAATGTGTGTTGGTTAGATACGTGGTGTGCTGTTGATAAATGCATTTTGCTGGAACTACTGAACTTGTGGCCTAAGTAAGGAGAAAGAAAAATGGGTGTTTTCTGCCATGTTTTGTTGAGTTAATTGTACAGGACCCATGGGTGTCTGTTAGCATACTGATAAAGCTTTCAATTTTCATAGATTATTTTACATTTTTAATGCATTGTTCCATGTGGTTTCATGAACAAGACATAATGAGGTCTTCAAGTTGTCAACTTTAAGAATGTTATACTGAAAAAAAAAAACCTTTTAAAAAGTTTGTGCTAGCTAGTACCTAGTACAGATCAAGCTTCATATGTGTCCATAACAACTATGTTGGAAAAGTATTATAAGTAAAAAAATATACAATGTAAAATAGCTGCACAATATTATTTTATTAGTCTTAGACCCCTGCTTTTGTGTAAGAAATTTATAAATTGTTGTTTCTAACACATAAAAAAATCATACAGGTGAAAGTCTTGTTTGATTTAATTAGTTTAGGCGGTTACCCCATTTATTTGACATAAAGTATGTCAAGACATGTTAGGGTTGAAAAAAAAAACCAAAATAACTGTACAGTTACAGAATTCAAAAAATATATTTAAGATAGACTTCCATTCTTTATTTACAGAGAAAAACTGTACATTTTTTGTGAAAATATGTGTTTGCCCTTGATTATATCTGTCAGCTGTAAGACCCTTTGGCAGGAAAATTGGATACAAATAAAGAAATAGAGAACCTATGAATGCAGAAGCTGGTGTGGTGTGTGTAGCCTTGGTGGTCTTACCCTGGATATACTAAGCTGATGTTAGTATGCTGAGCTTTTTAACTTGATCATTGTGTGACTTGATTGGTATTTATGAAGCTAAACTCCATCGGATTTGTTTTGTGTTTGCTTTCAGAAAAGGCATGTGATGCTTCTAATTTAAAAAACTTAGTTGCAGGTTTATTTATTTTGTACTGTATTAGGAGTTACACATTTTTCTGCTTTTCAGTCGACTCCGCTTAATTCTAGTGCAGAGAAGGGTTCATTCACCCTTTGAAATAAAAACATTTAATTGTGGTTGATTATTTCTTGTCTGGGATACACTAAAATGTGTTTGTACTGTGCTATTAAATTATCCACAGAAATGGTTTGTTTTTTGTAGATGGCAGCCATATTATTAAAAGTGAACTGAGCTATCCTTACTGGTAGTAGCTTGCACATATATTTATTATGAGAACTATGAGTTTTTTATAAATGATCTCAACTTCAGTTTAATAATAATAGGGCCAAGTGAGTTGATATGATTTCAGCTTCATTAATATTTAGGGTTTAGGGACTTTGGTTGTTTCTGATGTGAACTTCCAACAGGGGTATGTGTATTTACTATTTAAACTATGTATCATTTTGTTCTTTAATCTGATATAGTAAGTGGCAGGCTATAGTCATTGGCAGGTGTTGAATATTATGGATATTTGTTGTGTTTGTAATGTGTTTGTGTGTTTATATGCATATACATGCATATATTACTTATTTTCAGCTTGTGAGATATTCTTATTGGTATTACATTGCACATATATTTTCCTGTTTCCGTGTTTATATGAATAGACATGCATATATTTCTTATTTTCAACTTCTGAGTTACCCTTATTGGTATTTAATTGCACATATATTTATTATGAGAACTATATGAGTTTCTTATAAATGATCTCAACTTCAGATTTATAATAATATGGCCAAGTGAGTTGTTATGATTTTCAGCTTCATTAATATTTGCATCATTGCACTTTGGTTGTTTCTGATGTGAACTTCCAACAGGGGTATGTGTATTTACTATATAAACTATGTATCATTTTGTTCTTTAATTTGATATAGTAAGTGGCAGGCTATAGTAATTGGCAGGTGTTGAATATTACGGATATTTGTTGTGTTTGTAATGTGTTTGTGTGTTTATATGCATATACATGCATATATTACTTATATTCAGCTTGTGAGATATTCTTATTGGTATTACATTGCACATATATGTTCCTGTTTCTGTGTTTATATGCATAGACATAATTCTTTATGATGACTATATGTGTATTTACTATTTAAACTATGTATCATTTTGTTCTTTAATTTGATATAGTAATTGGCAGGTGATGAATATTACGGATATTTGTTGTGTTTGTAATGTGTTTGTGTGTTTATATGCGTATACATGCATATGCATGCTTTAATAAAGAAAACACTTGACATGTTTTACTAACATTAAAGTCAATTTCTTGTAAGGTTCAGTCAACATTCGACGCGGAAAGCATCTAGT